GTTGTTTAATTTGGTCCATAAAAAAATATTTTGATAGACACTGAGCCTCCTAAATTCTAAAATTCATGATAACTAGATTTTGATATATGTATCATATACAAGAAAAGGTAAATGATTAGTAGACAACAAAATTACATTTGCAAAAGCATGAACTTAAATGAGATAGGAAACCCTCATTTTATTCTAAGTTTGATTTATTTATGTTTTTCAGTATGTTTCTCAAATAACATTTAAAATGAAATATTATTTTTGTTTTATTGGATTGGATGATTTAGAAAACATTAACAATGCATAAAATAAAAATAAAAGACAATACAACAACACATCATCACAATAACATAGCAAATGATATATTAAGGACGTATAAATCATATGTGATTTCTCGCAGCATCTCTTCTTTGACTTCTTACATCAATTTCATCACACAACTTCTCATAGAGCCCTTCAAACTTGTCCAGAAACTTTTTTGCTTCTTCTTGATCTTGTTCCTTAGTCATATGCATTTTCCACCACGCATCTTCTGGAAACGGCTCCATAGACGCAGCTGCCTTCATCGCTTTCACTTCCTCAGCACGTGTCTGCTCAACAAGATTGTTGTACAATGTGCATAGCTCTTGAACATTCTGTTTGTGATGAACAGTAAAGAGTGATTGTTGCAAAGAAGAAGACGACGAGGCATCGCTGTTGAGAAACCGCTCCGCAACTGCCTGGAAGGATGGACTGCCAAATGTAAATGGCTTTCCAGAGTCGGTATACCCCAAAAATGCAATGTGAACGCCGCAGAGAACAGAGAGTTCACAGAGCTTAGTGTAGATACCATTTCGACGCTTAGACAATGTGACCAATCTGTCTTTGCTTCTTTCTATTTTCTTTATATTAATCTTTTGCTTTCCTTTTGATTTCTTGGTGTTCATTTTCTAGGAAAACAAATTATGAGTTTTTGACTCAAAAAAAAAAAGTGAAGAGAAATTTTGGAATAGTACTAATATATGTTTTTTCTTTTTCTTTTAACTTAAGAATATGTTTTTGTGAGTGAAAGATTTGTTTATTTCTATACACAAAATAAGGGTGGTGCTAATTAGATTGCATTAAAATAGTCAATTCTTAGATTTTTGGTATTCATTAATTCTTATATTAATTTTTTGCAATTTTGAACTTTTGTTGGTCAAGATTTAACACAAGATATGAAAAACATAACACTCATACCAAAAAAAGAGAAAGAAATTGTTTGAACGTTGAACAATATAGGATAAACTTAACATTCATACCAAAAGAAATTAATTCAAAATTTTATGTAAAAGGACTAAGGTTTTATGTCAATTACTATATTAAGAGTTTATGTCATTATTGAAATCATTCAAAATATGAAATCAACTATCGTTATAGAATATAATCATTTTTAATAAAAATCTTTATTTATTACACAAACAATTGAGATGTATTAATTCTAAAATACTGTTTTTGAAAGAAAAACATTATCTTAGACTAAGTAAAATAATTTATTTTTTAATTAAAAAATAATAGTAGTGAATTAACTTTCACATTTTGGTCTTTTAAATCATGAACTTTCTATGTGGCCATTCAAAACATGAAATTTTCGTTGACTTAGTTTTTAATGCATCATCTTTCATTAACTAAACCAAAATGAACATCATATCCAAAAATATGTTAACATAACATCTAAGAAACATTTAGTCATCTCTATTAGTAAGAGACGACGTCGTTTAAAGATACAACAAAATCCTTAAATGAGAAATTATGGATTTAATTTTTGAATTATGACGTTAGAATCACGATTTTGAGATATCGTTTTAACATTAAACGACGCTAGACGGATATGAAACTTTGTTCCTAAAACAAAGATTACAGTCGCCTATTGCCTCGTTGACGAAAAAGGTTCCTAGAGGAAAAACCATATTTTTCTAATGGAATCTTCTCTGAGTCCATTATACTTAAACCCACCAAGTTTATTAGCCTAGCCTATCTTCAACAATGTCGGCCTATCCTCCCCAAAACTTAAAATTAGGTTTGTTCGTAACTTTCTTCGACATAGGACTCATTTCATGTCAAGACTTGACATCGATGTATTTAGTATGCAATGATCCCCTTCATATCCTGAAACAAAGCTCCTAGACTCCTGTAAAATGTAAGACTCCCTGGTTTCAGCAAACATGTAGAGAAGTTTAAAAGATTTGACTTTTCTAACTATGTCATGAAAGTACACTTATTTTTTTGGTCAAAGATCCTAAAAGAACCTGACAGCTAAGTGTTCTTGAGATAGAGTAGGATTATGATGGGTGACTTATAGGAATTGATTGATTGAACTGTGCGAATGAGGAAAACCCCCAAGAAAAGATCACGTGATGATTTGGTGGTTAGGGTTTGTTCATGGTCGTGTATGGTGCAAGGATTCTTCAGGATTGATAAGAGGTGATTCTACAGTATCTTAAGAGGCAGCGTAGATAGACACCAGGTGGGTATCAGTCGACATCAGATGTGTTGATGTGGAGGTCGACACTAGGTTGGATTATGAGATATTTTGTTCTTGTTATGTATGGTCTGATTTTATTGTTGTTTGATAGAGTGTTGTTTTTTCTAATTTGCTTGTGTCTATAGGTATTACATGGGGGTCATCTTTCTAACTATTTGTGATAATTCTCACGCATATCTTTATGTTATAGTGCAGGCGAAGAAAGCGTAATCGTGGAATCGTGGCATGAAGATGAGGTTGATCTATGATCGAATTGGTGTTTTTAATGTTTTTTTCTTCTTTTGGAAGTTGGATTAGAAGCATGTTAAGAATGATGGTATTTGTATTGCTTGTAGAATTATTGGTTTAATGGTTATTTGGTTTATATCTAAAAGTGGTTTGATTGATAGTTTAGTTAATTTATTTTTGCTTGTTGCTGTTAGTATACTTGATAATAGCTAGTTAATAAATATGAGATTATTAGTTAACGAATTAAAAAATAGAATAGGCTGTCGTTTTAACTATTGTTAGAGATTTGGGACATGGACAACAAAATTACAAGTGCGAAATATAGCGGACAATGTATAATTATGTTTTGAGCTACTGATACACAAGAAATAAGATGAAAATGTCAAAATATATGTTGTTTAATTTGGTCCATAAAAAAATATTTTGATAGACACTGAGCCTCATAAAGTCTAAAATTCATGACCACTAGATTTTGATATATGTATCATAGACAAGAAAAGGTAAATGAGTGGTAGACAACAAAATTACATTTGCAAAAGTATGAACTTGAATGAGATAGGAAACCCTCATTTATTCTAAGTTTGATTTATTTATGTTTTTCAGTATGTTTCTCAAATAACATTTAAAATGAAATATTATTTTTGTTTTATTGGATTGTATGATTTAGAAAACATTAACAATGCATAAAATAAAAATAAAAGACAGTACAACAACACATCATCACAACAACACAACAAATGATATATTAAGTACGTATAAATCATATGTCATTTCTCGCGGCATCTCTTCTTTGACTTCTTACATCAATTTCATCACACAACTTCTCATAGAGCCCTTCAAACTTGTCCAGCAACATTTTTGCTTCTTCTTGATCTTGTTCCTTAGTCATATGCATTTTCCACCACGCATCTTCTGGAAACGGCTCCATAGACGCAGCTGCCTTCATCGCTTTCACTTCCTCAGCACGTGTCTGCTCAACAAGATTGTTGTACAATGTGCATAGCTCTTGAACATTCTGTTTGTGATGAACAGTAAAGAGTGATTGTTGCAAAGAAGAAGACGACGAGGCCTCGCTGTTGAGAAACCGCTCCGCAACTGCCTGGAATGATGGACTGCCAAATGTAAATGGCTTTCCGGAGTCGGTATACCCCAAAAATGCAATGTGAACGCCGCAGAGAACAGAGAGTTCACAGAGCTTAGTGTAGATACCATTTCTACGCTAAGACAATGTGACCAATCTGTCTTTGCTTCTTTCTATTTTCTTTATATTAATCTTTTACTTTCCTTTTGATTTCTTGGTGTTTATTTTTTAGGAAAACAAATTATAAGTTTTTGACTCAAAAAAAAAAAGGGAAGAGAAATTTTGGAATAGTACTAATATATGTTTTTTCTTTTTCTTTTAACTTAAGAATATGTTTTTGTGAGTGAAAGATTTGTTTATTTATATACACAAAATAAGGGTGGTGCTAATTAGATCGCATTAAAATAGTCAATTCTTAGATTTTTGGTATTCATTAATTCTTATATTAATTTTTTGCAATTTTAAAGTTTTGGTGGTAAAGATTTAACACAAGATATAAAAAACATAACACTCATACCAAAAAAAAGAGAAAGAAATTGTTTGAACGTTGAACAATATATGATAAACTTAACATTCATACCAAAAGAAATTAATTCAAAATTTTATGTAAAAGGACTAAGGTTTTATGTCAATTACTATATTAAGAGTTTATGTCATTATTGAAATCATTCAAAATATGAAATCAACTATCGTTATAGGATATAATCATTTTAAATAAAAATCTTTATTTATTGCACAAACAATTGAGATGTATTAATTCTAAAATACTGTTTTTGAAAGAAAAACATTATCTTACACTAAGTAAAATAATTTAATTTTTAATTAAAAAAAATAATAGTAGTGCATTAACTTTCACATTTTGGTCTTTTAAATCATGAACTTTCTATGTGACCATTCAAAACATGAACTTTTCGTTGACTTAGTTTTTAATGCATCATCTTTCATTGACTAAGCCTAAATGAACATCATATCCAAAAATATGTTAACATAACATCTAAGAAACATTTAGCCATTAGTAAGAGACGACGTCGTTTAAAGCTATAACAAAATCCTTAAATGAGAAATTATGGATTTAATTTTTGAATTATGACGTTAGAATCACGATTTTGAGATATCGTTTTAACATTAAACGACGCTAGACGGATATGAAACTTTGTTCCTAAAACAAAGATTACAGTCGCCTCTTGCCTCGTTGACGAAAAAGGTTCCTAGAGGAAAAACCATATTTTTCTAATGGAATCTTCTCTGAGTCCATTATACTTAAACCCACCAAGTTTATTAGCCTAGCCTATCTTCAACAATGTCGGCCTATCCTCCCCAAAACTTAAAATTAGGTTTGTTCGTAACTTTCTTCGACATAGGACTCATTTCATGTCAAGACTTGACATCGATGTATTTAGTATGCAATGATCCCCTTCATATCCTGAAACAAAGCTCCTAGACTCCTGTTAAATGTAAGACTCCCTGGTTTCAGCAAACATGCGAAGA